GGAGCGTACTAGTTTGGTAGCGTCGTCGCAGCCGCGATGTTCTGGCTAGCGCGATTGAAGATCGGGGGTTGCTCACTTCCTTCGTCGTTATGGATGCGGTGATGCATGTCCAGGGCCCTCCGTCGGGCTCCCCCGCCTTCGCCGCGACCTCGCTGTTCTGCTCGAGAGAGTCTCAAGCTGCTGCGAAGGAGTTGGTCTTGCTCGACCTTGGCCTGGAGCTCACGGAGTTGTTCTAGGTCTGGCGCCGAGGTCGCGCAAGAAGAGCGTTCTCATTCATTTCGCGGCGGCGGGGACGGCGCGTGGAGGTGTAGCGACGCGACGGCCGGGCAGAGCGGGGACCGCCACCGCCGCCTCGTCCTCTTCGCCCGCCCTCGGCATCCCGAGCTCGACATGAAAACATTCGTGAATCGGGGTCGTAGGTGCCTTCGCTGCCGGAGTCGGAGTAGCCAAAGCGATGAGTCGCGGCCAAGAATTGGCGCAAAGCCCTGTGGTTGTGGAGTTGAAGAAATCCACCCGGGCCATGCCTAAATCCTCATCCGAGGAGTCGGAGTGGGTGCTCAGTCGAGAGCGGTTACCGGGCGGCGTTCCGAGGGGTGCTCGTGAGCGGGCGTGTAAGCGTAGGCATAAAAGGCGCTGGTGTTTCTCAACCCAAAGGGGTATGGGGACGGGCGCGCGGTCTCCAGATCCGCTCCCGCCGGGCCTGGCTCTTGAGGAGTGATGGAGCGGAGCTGGACGACTGGCATCGCGCGTGCCATAGGCAAGTCTCCTTTGTCCAAGTTTCAGCTAGACAGTCCCCACCCTGGGACCACGTGCCAACAATCGGTCGAGGATATTGGCGGGGTGGCGTGTTGCCCCGCATTCGCGTAGCGCCGGGTGGCCTTGTTCGTGTTGCGTGCTTGGCGAAGCGGCGAGAGCGGCCGCCGGACGCCGCCAGCGCCTGGCCGCCGGGCGAATTTCATCGTTGGTTGGTGGGGATCGAGGAGTGAGGAGCACCATGTCGTACTCATGCCCTAGAGACATGAACTCTAGGCTCCCAAACCAAACCACAGTGCCGAGACGCAATGGTCGTACGTGGTCTGCCATCCGGAACCTGCTGGGATGACGAAACCGACACGCAGCGGCCCCTACCTGGCGCGCCAACTGTCGGTGTTTCGGACCGGGGGGTCCACAACCGACTAGTGAATTTGTTTTGCGTGCTCTCGATCCGGATGGTGATGCAAAGAGACACAAGGTTTATACTGGTTCAGGCAATCAAGGCCCTACGTCCAGTCTGAGAGATCGATCTTGTATTCCTTGCACCGAGGTGCTCGTAGTAGGGGGTTACAAGCTAAAGGAGAGAAGGAGCTGGTCCTAGGTCTCGGCGGGGTGTCGTGCGGGCCGCTTGAGACGTTGCTCTCAGGCGGCAGGAGTGTGCGCGTGTGTGTGTGTGTGTTACAAGGTGTCCCCCCTTTAAACAACCCTGTGTCCTCTCCTTTTATAGCTCAAGGAGGACTAGGGCGGTACATGAGCTAACTATACGGCGTCGTGTGAACAGAGGCGGCGTGTCCGAGCCTGTGAGCCTGTTCTCGTGGTGGTGTGGCCGCCGGAGTGGTCCATCCTTAGAGTAATCTGGGCGGCGTGGTCATCCCATCGAGATCCGTAAGGCGCCGTGGGAGCCCCAGAATGCCTCGGAGTGGGACGCGGCGGCGTGAACGTGCAAGCCATCGTGGGACGGACTGTGTGCGAGGCCGAGACTTGGTCGATGCCGAGGCCGGCATCGCGGTGGGGGTCTCTCGCAGCACGAAACCCCAAGATCGCCGAGGCCCCGTGTACAAAGGCCGAGGCCTTGAGCGGGCGGCGGCCGATCATGGGCACAATGTTTGGACACAATGGTCGGTAATCCCCGTCGCACCTGTCCCGGCCGGTATGGTATGGCGCCGATCGTGGACACACGGTGGTTGGACACGATGGGCGGTAATCCCCGTCGTGCCCTCGTCCCGGCCGGTATGGCGCCGATCGTGGACACAATGTGAGGACACACGATGGCGGTAACCCGTCGTGCACCTGTCCCGGCCGGCAGAGGATACCGATGCGACTGGTCGGTCGCGTCGGTCATCCTGTGGCGTTGAGCCACCGTCCGGCTGAGATTGCGGGAGTGGTTGAAGCATTAATGAGACATGACGAGTTGTTGGGAGGGTCGGCCGAGGCGGGGGGCGACGGACCGCGGACGAGCCGGCCTCGAGCGACACGGAGAATGAGGCCTCGCGCGAGACGGAGATCAGGTTCCTTGCCGAGGCCTTGTGCGAGACGCCTCGCGCGATACGGAGAATGTACCCCTGCCGAGGCCTTCCCTGGATAGCCTCGGGCGAGACGGAGACGGCGCCCCCTGCCGAGACCTACCCTGGGGAGCCTCGCGCGAGGCGGAGTTTGTTCCGAGACCTCCTGCTCGAGGCTCGAGGCGAGGTGGAGGAGGGCTCGATCGTGGCAGGTGAGGGGCCCACGGCTTACCTTCTAGCTTTATTTTGATGTTTGCTTGGGGTACCCCGTTATAAGGTACCCGACATATCTGTTCCAAATGTTTCATCTATTTTTTAGATGTAAGTTGCAAATGTGTTTATTTGGATGTTGCATATGTTTCACACATACGTTGCAAGTGTTGCACATGCATTTGCAATGACTTTCAAGTGTTTTTAGGTATTTTTGTAAGTATTTTAGACGCATGTTTTAAGTATTTCATCTGCCTTTAGACGCATGTTGTAAATGTTTCATCTATTGTTTCAAAAGTAGATCGGTGTTGCTACTGGGACCCACCTGCCGCAGCAGGCGTCCGGGCAGGGAAGTAGAGGGCGCGAGCGATCTCCGTGTGGGGTCAGGAGGCGTGGGCAACGTTCAGACGGGCGCGGGCCCCCACGTGGGCGCACAAACGGAGTGCAGGTGCGGGCGTCCGGACGTTCGAGCGCTAGCACCGCCGATATCGAAATTCCAACACTCCAATTCCAACTGCTAAAATTAAGGTTGATTTGGATGTTCATGTATCTCTCCTCAATCCATATGTATAGTTTAGATTCAACACTAAACTATTCCAACACATATGGATTGAGGTGGATCCATGGATATCCAAAACAATGTCTTACATGAAAGAAATAATGCAGGGATATAGCAGAAAATGATGAATTCTGGAGATGAGACAATTCGCTTCTCTAGTTTGGTCCTAATGATGTTAAAGGAGTGCCCAGCAACTGTTGTTATATGTCACCGTCTTTCATAATCGGTTAGTTTTAAGTCCCATCTTTGTAAACTAAAAAGGTTCACACTTTGCACAGGTGGATTATAATATGAAATATACCATGCCTCCTAACTAAAATTAAAAGATGTTGTCGGCTTTCAATAAAAGCTGGACGAAGCGGTCTGTTATCTTCTATTACACCTAAAAAATTACAAACGTTATCGTCGGATGAAGTTAATCACTCTGCCCAGCTTAATTAATCCGGCTCCCGCGTCGCCCCCGCCCGCGTGGGACCCCAAGCTCTGCCCAGCTATAATCCGGCTCCAGCCCCACGAGTCCAGTACGTGAACCAGCTATCATCCGCCTCCCGCCCCACGAGTCCGGTACGTGAACCGGTAAAAGAATAAGATAGCTAAACGTGCACTGTTGGAACAGAAGTTGGAACTCTGAATTCTGTACCAAATTTACAGTGTCTGACCAAACTTTAGAATTTTGTATCTCTCAAACCGTTCAGAGTTTGATCTATATTTTTGAACAACAATTATAGAGCTTTGAATCAGGAACAACTTTTCTTAAGGCCAACTAGGTTAATTACATTTGAAATTGTGAGAATTGGATCGACAAACAGGGCCAGTCCGGATCTAAAACCTGAACTTGGGAGCAGCAACAACTGCCTGCTTGCCGCGACCGCCGACCTCCACGCAGCTGCTTACTGCTGGGACGCGGCCGCGCCCTGGATGGACACGTATATGCAGCGTACTACCAACACATCAAGGAGAATTGCAAAGACTACTATACCGGTGGTGCTTGCCGAAATAATATGCTATTAAGAAGGTGTGGCATATAGGTGTGTCGGAAGATACAATTAAAACATAATTGCCCCTCTTAGTTATAGCTATTCACAAAATCAATCTTGTATTATTGATGATCCGAACATCATGTTACAAAATTGCTTTTTTGTAACACATTCATTCTATTTTTTTTAAAAAAATACAACACACACTCATACTTAAAATACTATATCGATACATACATGGGCATTTATCTAGTTAAAAAATAAATGTTGTGGAGTTCTCCTCCGTCCCAAATTATCTGTCGCTTTTTAGTTTTCGTGCCGTAAGTTTGACTCGATTTGTAGAAAATACATGCAACATTTGTATCTCTAAATAAATTTATTAAAAAACTATATTCAAATATCTTTCCAATGATACCAATTATGTACCATTAATATTAATATTTTTTAATATATATTTTATCCAAGTTATTTCTCGAAAGCGAAAATGACAGATATTTTGGACGGATAACTTAGTAGACATGGAACGGGACAACATACTTTACAGGATTCGTCGAGGCCTTATTCGTTTCTTCACAAGGGAGTTTGGAGAGGATCGGAGGGAATTGAGGGTATCTTAACTCCTCAATCCCCTATAATCCTCTTGGTTTCGGATAAAACGAACAAGGCGGGATCCATTAGATCGATTTGGGGAATTCATACTCATCGAGTTTAGGTGACACCGTGACAGAGTCCGGTGGCGCGCCCTGCGCGGGCGACCCGATCGAGCCGAAGTGACCGTACGCGCCCAGCAGGCCGTTCCGTTCCTACCAAAACGACGCAAGCCCGCCCGCGCTTCCCGTCCTGGCTCCCTTCCCTTCGCCTCCCCGTCCGTCCGTCCGCCCGCCCGCCGCGCGCTAAACTTGGGCGTAGTTGCCTAGCTGGCAGGTTTGCCGGTCGGTGAGCGGTGATCGCGTGGCCCGTGGGGACGCGGCGGAGGACGGCGGGGCACGGCCGGCCGGCATGGGTTCCGGGACGTGGCGCAAGGCCTACGGCGCGCTCAAGGACTCCACCAAGGTCGGCCTCGCCAACTTCAACAGCGAGTACAAGGTGATGACGACGATGCCTTGCCTCCGGTGTCCGATCGATCGGTCCCCATCCATTCACCCGCCGCGCCAGGCGCCGCCGCCCGGCCTCCCGTCCCATGGCGTTCGACTGTCATCTTCCCTCCCGGCTCTTCTTCGTCCTACCATGGCCATTATTGCCCATTGTGAAGGCGCTTAATTTTCTGATGGATTCCTTGCAGGATCTGGACATCTCCATTGTGAAGGCGACGAACCACGTGGAGTGCCCGCCCAAGGAGCGCCACTTCAGGAGTGAGTGCTAGCTCGATCCTATATGTTTCCGAGAGGGCATTCGCAGCAGCATCAGGTGTTCATGGTCGGTTTCCTCTGCTTCGTGCAGGGATACTCTTCGCGACCTCGGGGCATCGCCCTCGAGCCGACGTCGCCTATTCGATATGCACGCTGGCGAGGAGGTTGTCCAAGACCAAGAACTGGATAGTGGGTCTTGCTTCTTCTTGCTCCATTGTTCATGAACTCATGATGATCCTTTGATTCACTCACTCACATTATTTATTTATTTCTGGTTCCCTTTGATTCTGCTACCTTTCTGAGAACTGCTCGTTTGTTACATTTTGTGATGTGAAGGGCAGCCATGAGCACATGCCAACCCATTTCTTGATTACAGGTTGCACTGAAGACGTTGATAGTGATACACAGGCTGCTCAGAGAAGGCGATGGCACATTCAAGGAGGATTTCCTCACCTATTCATACAGAGGAAACATTCTGCAAATCCCACAGTTCAAGGATGACTCCAGCCCATTAGGTCGTTTTGTGTTCAATCTGCATTTTTCCATGGGTGCAAAAAAAATGTGCCCTCCCTGTGTCTGTTCTGCTTCAAATTCTTCAATGCCTGAATAAACAGGTTCTCTGCTCGCTCGCTTTTGCATGCAGCTTGGGACTGCTCCGCTTGGGTTCGCACGTACGCGCTCTACCTGGACGAACGGGTCGAGTGCTTCAGGGTTCTCAAGTATGATGTCGAATTAGATCGTCTGCTCAAGTTACCCCAGGCTTCTGGCAAGGTAGGCATCATTGTGAATTGTTTGCTCCACGTGAATGCTATTCTGAATCTTGGCAAATCCCAGGCACACAGCAGAACAAGAACCCTGCCGCTCGGGGAACTTTTGGATCAGCTGCCAGCATTGCAGAAACTGCTTCTCAGGCTTATTTACTGTCAGGTTTAATTTTAGAAAATAAAACTGTGTTAAGTCTGGTTTATGAAATAAGAAACACTACTGAGCTTTCAAATAAGAAATTTTGTTAAGCGGCCAGTGTATACATACAACTCTCTGATATAGACTGATACCGATACACCATTTCATTTTCCATTGTCATTTTGCAGCCTGAAGGTGCAGCCTGCACAAATTACCTTGTACAATATGCCTTAGCTCTTGTAAGTCTGAAACTTGTTCTGGCAAAGATTTTTGGCACAATATAGTGTGTGTTTCCTTATATCCTTAAGTCTTACAGAGGTCTTATGGGCCATAGGTTTTGAAGGAAAGTTTCAAAATATACTGTTCAATCAATGATGGCATCATCAATCTTGTTGATATGGTAACTTCCAGTTCTTACTGAAATGCTTTTTTACATATATCTCCATAATCTGAACATACGGAGAATAACTTATATTTCTCTCATGTGATGCAGTATTTTGAGATGCCAAAATATGATGCAATCAAGGCCCTTGAAATTTATAAACGAGCTGGTCAGCAGGTATAGAAACTAAGCAATTTTACCATAAACTGGGTTCAAGAGTATATATTTGGATGAACTATCTGGTTCTTGGAATCTCATGGTGTGTACCATCAATTTCACAGGCAGAAAAACTTTCTAATTTCTATGACCACTGCAAACATCTTGAGCTGGCCAGGACTTTCCAGTTTCCCACTCTGAGGCAGGCATGTTCCGACATTCCTTACTGATTTTAACAGATAATCTTCAGGAAAGATATATTACATCACTGAATATACCACAGTTATAAGTGTAAAAATGTCAGTGGTTTAAATCCCATTTGGAAATTGGAATGACTTAAATTTTGTCCTCTGCACACTGTATTGTACTATTAGTCACTCACAGTGTTGATGGGCTACTAATTACCACTATGCAGCCACCGCCTTCATTTATTGTGACAATGGAAGAGTATATCAGAGAAGCACCCCGTGCCGATACTGAGGTAAGAGTTTGGTGAGTGTGTCCAGTGTCAGTGGAACTGCAAAAGGTCAAAGCACATAGGAGAATATCTCTGATAATTATTGCTGTTTGCCAAACCAGGAAAACCATGAAGAGAATCAACCTAGTGATAATGAAGAAGCAGCTCCACAGGAAGCCGAGAAACCTGTGGAAGATGAAAAACAAGAATCTGCAGAGCCTGAAGCAGAGCCACAACCTGCTGCTGGGCCTCTGGAGGAACCAGTGGAACATCAGCCACGGGCGACTACCGGGGATCTATTAGTATTTCCTCTATGTTTCAAGAAGATTCTACACTTCAGCTCAATACCTGCTTCTTCAAAGCCTCATGTTTTACTAATATCTGAACTGCAGAACTTGGATGAAGAAGTAAACCCCATGATTGCAGACCTTGAAGAAAGCAATGCGCTGGCTCTTGCTATTGTGGCACCAGGTTCAGTGCTTATAATATCAATGCACTGCTCAATAGCATATCCTGTTAAGCATAACTGCACTAGCAGCAATTTTGAATTGGTGCTATTTTGTGAAGAGAATGCTTTTACATAAGGAAAATCATGTGTTATAAGCTGCGTGCACTATGTAGTAACTTGTCTCTTAAATGTAGGTAATGAAAACAAGATGTCAACTTCTCGAGACTTGTTTGCCCTTGACAAGGCTGGATGGGAATTGGCACTGGTTACTGCGCCAAGTAACCACACAAATCAACAAGTCGACAATCAATTGGTATGTAGACCTTCCTATCTCTAGAGAAAATATGATCGTATGAATTCACACAGATTATTAGCTGTAAAAGATGTGGTCATAAATACAGAATTTAAGTAAAAGCAATCAGAGCTAAATTACTTACTTGCATTTGCTGAACAGGCTGGGGGATTTGACAAGCTATTGCTCGACAGTCTTTACGAAGACGAGGCAAGGAGACAACAAATAGCCAGTGTGACCTACACTGGAAGTCTTGCAGCAAACCCATTTGACCCCAATGATCCATTTGCCATGTCAAATAGCTTTGCACCACCATCAAATGTGCAGCTAGCTATGATGGCAGAGCAGCAGCAATATTACCAGGCACAGCAGCAGCAGTACTATCAGGTACAGCAGCAGCAGCAGCAGCAGCAGATGGTGATGTTGCCGCCTCAAAACATACCAGCAGCAGTCTCAGTATTCTGCCCCTTCTTCTCAACCTGGATTATCCAATCCTTTTGGTGATCCATTCAGTAGCCTCGTCACGATGGCTAATCCACCGAAGCAAAGCAATTCAAATTTAGTCTGAATTGCATATTTTGTTTCTACCGCTCCCACTAATTTTGATCGTACACAACATTGACAATTCTGAGGAGCAACTTGTATAGTTCAAAAACTTTGAATACTGTATCTTGACGATACACTGTACCGCAGTAGTGCTCACAATTGGAAACTAATATGATCTGAAATGTTAATATAATACACAGCTTTGACTTGTACACCAATATCAGCTACTATGGGAGCAATGTTTCCCATCATACGTTCCAGATGTCGGATAGCATAGAGAAGACAGTGAAATCATAGTTTTTATTTATAGATTAGTCTTACATAAAATTAGAAGATCACATGAATTCAGTACAATTTTATTTTACACGGTAGCTCACGAATTCATCAGTTCAACTCTTTTTTTTTTTTTTTTTTGTACAACAGCACTAAATGACATGAAAGTGACACCTTTTCCAGACCTCCTTCATCCAGTGCAATAATAAGGCTCCTTCCATTCATTCCTCTTGAGCTTGATTGGCATCCGTATTTGGGCTCTCCACTTCATATCGAAAGTGACCTGCATATTTGTCGATACTCCATGTAAGACCGAACTCTCAATAAGCAGGTGCTATAGAAACAAAGCAGAACGATGAAATGTCTCGAGATTGTTCTGATTTCTAGCAGTTCTTATGCATCCGTTTCAGTTCAGAATTGAGCAAATCCGAATAGCGAAATGGAGATCCCAAATAGTCGAATTGTTACCTTTGATGAAGTAGGTCGAGCATGGGTACCCGCGGGAGTCGGCGACGACGGCGCGGGCCTCGTCGGTGGAGAGCCCCCGCCTCGGCGATGCCGAGGAGCCGATGTGCCCACCACCGTGGCCAATAAGCGCGAGAATCCCCTGGGCCACGCCGGCGGGCCGGGGCGGCACGAAGTAGGATGTCCCGGGCCGGAAGGGCGCCCAGTCGGGCTCGGCCGCCCGCGCCATGGCGCTGTCGATCGCCTCCTCCAACCGCCGGGACAGCGCGGAGGCGTCCGCCGCAGGTGCAGAGGGCCCCGCGGCGTCCTCTTCAAGAACCCCCGCCGCAGGCCGGCGAGTGTGGTTGTGCCGGCGGCTCAGAACCACGCCGGGCTGGGGCTGGGCCCCGAGGCGGCGCGCTAGGACCGCTGCTGCCCGGGAGGAGAGCACGCGCGCCATGGATGCCTTCACGTCACGGATCCGGAGTCGGAGCGGGCAGCCTGGGAGACGGAGCAGCAGCAGCAGCTTGTTAGCGCTTGCGTCCGACGGCGAGCTGGTGCGGCGTGTCGCGAAGGTTTGGGGCCTGTTGGGCCGAGAAGTGGGGAGCGTCGGGTAAATATAGCAGATACTCAAGGGCTTTTCCGTAAAAGAGTCGGGGGTCGGTTCCGAATCGGGTGCGTGTCGTTTTGGACGGAAACCGGCAAACCGCATGCTGTTTCCGCCGGTTTCTCTCAGGGGTATTTCCGTAATAATGAAATGTTTACGAGGGGTAATCGGAACATTAGCAGCCGCCCACAACCGCCTTAACCCTCACGCAACTGCGTCTTTGCGGCGGCGCGAAACACCGACGACGCGTCTTCTCTCTGGTTGCGAGCGCGGTCGGAGGAGCTAGGGTTTCGCTGCGGCGAGATGTCGGCGTACGACGAGGTGGAGATCGAGGACATGGAGTGGAACGCGGAGCTGAAGGCGTACACGTACCCGTGCCCCTGCGGCGACCTCTTCCAGATCACGCTCGACGACCTCCGCCTCGGGGAGGAGATTGCGCGCTGCCCCTCGTGCTCGCTCTTCCTCACCGTCGTCTACAACGCCGAGGACTTCGCCGACGCCAAGGAGCCGACCCAGAAGCCGTCCCCGAGCCCAGTCGCCGTCGCCTGATGTGGCCCGTGCCAGGCGAGATGGTGAGGCCCCTGTTTCCTGGGAGTTTCTGTAGTCGCTCTGAAATTTCGCCTTTTGAAGCCTTCTGTTGTTATATATGTCTCGTTTGAACCAATCGGTAGCTATGAAATTTTGGGTGCAGTAAGATTGGGGATTAGAATCCAGCTAGGAAATTTGTTGCAGGCCTCTAGCGCCGTGGTTGGATTATTGCGCTTCTTGTGGAATTGAGAACTAGTGATTGCTGCTGGAAGGAATGGGCAGTATTGATCCTATTGATGGTGTGCAAAACACACAAGTTCGTTTTTTATCTTTATTAGTTTGTGGGGCAACCAACTTTGCCCAAAAGAAACAAATAAAATTTGGTTAAGTTGGTCAAGGATTGGTGGGAAGGTGCTAGGTGCATAGAATCAGACTGAATTGCCATGTGCATCAGATTTATGAGGAGTTGAGGACAATAAGCTGGATGTTGGCAAACTAAAAGAATTCCATCAAACATCAGTTGTGTGGCTGATTTGAGCTTCGTCATGTGGTTTTGCTTGTGTGACTTATGAACTTTGTTAGTTCATTTTCCTGCTGGGGGTTATGCATTGATGCAACAACCTTTACTCTGTTTACTGGTTATGCTGCTGAGGCTAATATGTTGGAATCAAAATAATGTATGCAAGTCCACAACATTCAGTTTGTGTTTGTCCATGATGATGGGGGTTAAGCCCACAACGTTTATACCTTGTACAACATAAGTAGTTCAAGTTCAAGTAATCAAGTTTGATTTTGTGTGGTAGGGACATGGAGATCGTTTAGTTAACCTGTTTTAGACTTTAGACATCCCAAATCTCCAAGACATAAGTAAAATCTGTATAGCTAGGTTCATGTTGTCCCTAGTACTATTTTCTCAAGCAGTTTGGTTCACACCAGACTCTACAGTGTAAGCTATAACTTTTGTTGCATGTCATCATGTTGTATAAGGGCCCGAGCGTTCATGTACAACTTTTTGACCTCCTAGGGCGCCGATAAGGCGTCTTGTATTTGACATTTTCTCTACCTTAATACAAAGAAGCGCAAACCTTTTGCTTGTTCGAGAAAAAAAAAATCATGTTGTATAAGGGTCACTAATGTTTCTCATTTGAATCATGTTGACATTATTTTATAATGCTTGCAGGATCTCAGAGCAGGAAAAGGAATGAGTTCATGTTTGACACAAAAGGAATGGAGTTCATGTTTGACACACACCACTACGGGAGCATTTATACAACTTACTTAGATGAGTGAACCCGCTGCATATTTTCAAAGCTCAGGTTGTTAAACTTTTTTTTTTGTGGGTGACATTGTTGTAAGGTGACAGAGACAACTCATGCTATGAAAATTTTTGTTTGTCACTATTTATCATTGAACGTGGGCACGTGGCCTTACCAAGTTTGAAATCCGATCTATCTTCGGTGATATATTCATTTGTGTTCCACCTCGTGAGTTCTTATTGGAGCTAAGCCATTGGGTTGTGCAGACATTCTCTGCATGAATCTAACTTCAGCTGCATTAGGCCTTGTTTGGTAGGGGGCTCCTCTCCCAAAGGCTCTTCCAGAGGAGCTGGGCTGTTTTGATGGAGCCACAAAATGACTCCAGCTAAAAACAGCTCAAAAGGCTCCTATCCCCGCAGGAGCCGGAGCTAGAGAGGAGCCCTACCGCGAATGGGGTCTTACGTTACATTGATATACTGTACTATAGTTCCCCATCCAATGTATTCTGTTTGTTATATTTTACTTTCCATAGTACCATCATGCACCTTCGTGTTCTGTTCATGATTTAGATTCACGACCTGTGTTTGTACAAGTTACAATAGTATGCGAAGTCGGATTCCAAGATGACTGGCCACATTACGAAGTCCAATTCCAAGATGACTGGCCATTTTACAGAGTCCGATTCCAAGATGACTGCAACAAGCTACATGTTCTGTTGCCATGTTGCTAGTATATGGTAAAAATGATGTATCTGAAAAGCCAAAATGAATCGAAGGAGTAATTCTTTTCTTGTGCTATGGTTAATATCATCACCTGGCCCAGCTTCGGCACTGATAAACAGTAACGCTGACTGTAACACAACTCAACCAACTTGAAGCATATGATTGGACCAATATTGAATCCAGCTCTTTTGGCATATATCAACAAATGGCAGGTTTTGAAGGTGAATCTCTAAACAGCTGATAAACTTTCTGATGATGTAGAATTGAGCTGAAGCCTCAATGGTAACACCACAATGCACTTTCATCTGATTATGTAGGTGGTCACTGTATTCACATCTCACACGGGCAACAATCAGCTATCTTTGATTGCCACCGTTCTCAAAATAAGAAATGGCAAAAAGGGCGTTAAGAACGCAGAAACCTTGCAGATTTATTGTTGGGTCACAAGCCAAAAAAATGTATGCTGCCTTCACTTCACACCCAGCAGGCAGCTGTTTCAGATGTACAGTTCGATTTATCAGCTTACAGGGGGCATGTACAAATTACTATTTACCGATCAATCAGATGGTTATATACTGTTAGCATGTTACATCAGATCCATTGTCTAATGGAGATACGTATAAAAAACTACAACACCGTATGTATGGAAGAAATATTTATAGTTGTACTAGTTAAATTTGACGTAAAAGGTCACTGATCTTCCTGAGTTCTTTTAGAGCTGCTACTGCCTTAGCTTGCTCTCTGCTTCTAGGAATTGCTTTCTCAAGTTTCTCCACTGAAGTCGAGAGTGAATTTGGTTGAAACAGCATCTCGATATCCTGTGATATAAACTAGCAAATTAGCCAAGGGAAAATACAAGAAAAGGTATCTCATGATCTGATCTTAAGGTGCATATATCCAACAATGGGGGCATTATCTGCTTGTTCTTTCCTATCTTCTTACTTGGACAAAAAAAAAACAGGGGGGGGGGGGGGCAGGAAGTACAAACTTCACTAGTATTTGATAAACCTGTCTAGTGTCTGATTATCAGAATAGTATGAGTTCTAAAAGAGAAATATAAACTAAGAGGTATTGACAACATAAAATATGAACTTTACAGAAAAAGATCCACCAGATAAATATATATATATATATGTGGCCTCTATTTGGCAACAAGTTTCTTTTTAGTTTTTATCAAGTAAGGTTACCTGTATGTTCTCAACCATAGATTCACCAAGAGATCTTAATGTTCTGCTCAACTCTTTATCAGCCACATTTGTTATTGAACATATTGCCAATGTTTCTTTTTGGCCACCTTTATCACTAGTGGAATTTTGGTCATCTTTTATTTTCGGCTTCCCATCAACAGAACACAGTCTACGCTGTTGAACTGGATAAGTATCCACTATTCCAGATGTTCGATCTGTTGTTGCTGCTTCATCAGTTCTACCATTGTGCACAAAGAGTGGATCAGGTTCATTAACCACTCTGTCATCACAGGGATTACATGGTTCTTCCAGATGATGGGTATCATGATCGTATTCAGTGCCACATGACAAAGTGGTACTGCTGCTCCTCGATAAATACCCACTAGCTGCTCCAAGAGGATCTCTAATTTCACCTGAAGTTGAGCAGTAATCATCATGCTGGCCTATCTCACATGCATTCTTTGAATTACTCTCAATAGCCTCTGAAGAACCTTTACCAACATGATGCTTTTGTTTTTCTATAAGCATGTGTGGCACACTATTTATCAGCTCCACAGGAACTACATCAGCATTGTGAAGTTCATCAGTAGTGGACTGCCTAGTTGAAGTCATATCGTTGTTTTCAAAATTAACAGCCTTGCTTCTAGAAACATTCGACTCAGTGTTAGACAAGCTTCTTCTCAAGAAGCCCCTTCCCTTCATCTTGAAGACACCACCACCCTTTTGGTCCATTGATGGCTGGAGAATCTTCCATGTCTCTTCCCAATAGTTGGGTGTAGTCAAGAGAGAATTTCCTCTCATTGGGGATGAAGGAAGATTTGCTTCAAGGGCAAAAGATTGCAGTAACTTGGCTTTCTCAATTAAGCTCTTTAAGTCAATATCTTCTGGAAAATTTAACAACCTCACTAGGCAAGAAGTCGCATGTTCACTCCCTAACAAGGAGGATCTGAGATGAAGCATCATTGATACTGCCATTGACAAAATCAGCGCACCACGAGGAGAACATAACACTTTAAACTGATAATCTGCCCTACTACTGATATCGGTACAATAAGAATGGTTAGGAGAAGAGAAGATCTCATCCCAAATAAACAGAAGACTGTCAAGTGAAAATTCACGACCAAATAGGACGCGGAGCCATCGTAATGCAAAGTACTGAGGTTCAACTCTTAACTCCACAAGGTGACTATGAAGAGAGGAATCAACACTAGCAAGCAAGTGATATATTGCAGATGATGCCTCTCTTACAGGTGTTAAACCCATGCTTGATTCTGGGGCAGGACTCAGAGAATAGAAGTCAGTGATAGCAACCACTCCTTGCGCACCGTTCATCAAATTCTCAAACATAGAGTAAGCATCATGCTCCATAAACTTTTCTGATAAAATAATACCCAGCTCACCCTCTGCTCCATATGCATCATTGATCAAGAAAAGATCTCTAGTATAAGGATCAAGGTCAGCCAAACTTCTAATTTTAGCTGTTCTACCCTCAACATTGTTTTTCCTGTCACTTCTGTTCAGCTTTGAACGATCTGGAAAAGTTTGACCATCAAAATCATCACCCAAAAGCTCTTCATGAAGGTCCCTGACTTGTCTGAAGTGCTGCACATCAGCGTGAAGTACATAGAGAAGAGGAGCTAAGAGTTCATGCATTCCTGTAGGAGGAAAGTGATTTATGTTGACAAATGCATACAATGAGGACAGATGAATGGTTATCTCATCAGAAAACAAAAGTCACACACCTACTGGTTTGGACCCTTGTTAAGTTGTTCAAAAAGGTTTTGGCATGTTGTTACAAAGTGGACCTATGTTTTTACCTTTGGCAGAAATAATGTTTAGTCACCTAAACTAGGCCAAATAAATTTTGCTTCAATATGCAATATAGAAGTACTCAACTAAACTTAGGTTAATAATTGCAGAAAGAACTAGGTAGTTATTTTTAGAAGTGAAGTTTTGGTTCCACGTAGTGAGTAGTGACAAACATTGAATAGGTATAAGATTAGGAACCAACTCCAGGGATGTGCACTTAGGCATATCATGTTGCGGCTATACAACTTTAGTTGGTATCAATCATTTTTTCAGGAGATAAATAGCTCGCAGTGACTGAAAAGATATCAACGCTTTACCTTGTCTGTAACCAAACTCTGGGTATCTGAGGCTCCATACTAACAATATACGTCCAAGCATAGACTGGCATGTGCTTGTTTGGAAGAAGTCCCCCAATTCAGGGTACAGGCGGGACAGATCTTGGTTAAGCATTTTCTCAAGCTCCGCATTCCTGAAATATTGGCCCCAAGTGCTCCCTGCATGACAATGTACAGATTTTTTTTTCCATAAAAGCTGATGTCACTAATGGTGATTTTGTGGAAGATGTCACTTTCTTACATTGCTATAGGATTGAGTACTGATTGAAGATAATATATGACTGGTGAGATAATAATAGCATGTCTTGCCCTCCCTTTGTGTACTCTCTTCTCTCTTTTTTTTTTGATCGGGTACAACTTGGACGCACACAACCCACACACTCCACACTCACACCACACGCTCACACACGCGTGCGCGTCCGTACACACGCAAAGAAGAGATTGGGAGGCTTCGCTGCCTCCAGTGCACGGGAAACGCGCAGTACCACCGAACGCGCACGCGTGCGTGTACCCTAAAATCTCTGGAAAAATTCCAGAAAAAGGTGCGATCACCAGGGTTTGAACCCTGGTGGGTAGCGTCCCACTGGACAGACCTACCACTGGACCACAGGTCCATTCGCCTCTTCTCTCTTTTAATGAAATGATGCGCAAGTCTCTTGCGTGTTCAAGAAGGAAAAAAAAAAGAAAATAATAACATGGTCTGCAGGTTGGAGCTAGTGAGAGATAACAATGCAACAAAAAAGGTTTCTCTCTGCATTCCCTCCCCTTTCTTTTAAGTAACAGAAGACTTTATTTAACATCTGACTACCTTCTCAGACACATGGACTGTAACTCATATGTTAATCTAGCACAAAACATCTCCTATCCAAGCATAACCTTAGTTTTTTAATAAATCATGGGTAACACAACAACTCAGAGACCACACACTTTAAAGGCAAAAGGCAAAAGCTAGTGCCTACCTGGGCTCTGCGAGAGTGGATTCTCCACAATCAAGTCAGGGGCACCTTCTTCATCCTTGGAAAGATGGGGATCTATTAGCAGCCTTCGCCGCAGATTAGCATATCTGTAGCAATCAACAATTAAAATTCTAGAGTCAAAGCCCTGAGACCCAACAAAAATTGCTTGGGACTAAAAGGCTTTGTTGTTGTTGTTCTCAATTTCCAATCCCTTCTAGTTTATTTCCATGGAGTCAAACCAAACAATAGAGATCTTTAGAACAATCAAGGACCATTTCGGCATTTCAAGAAGCCAGAACTTTTTTTTTATGAGGAACTGTGGCAGGCGCGAGGCTGACATGAACATTATATTAGCATATGCAAGGATCTTTGGCATACAAGATTTGAGAGAAAGGCAATAAAGAACTAAGCAACAATCTTGGTATGAAAGCCTAAGATAACTTGATCTACGGCCGCGAAATGAGCTCAATCTTGGTATTAAATCATTTCAAGAAATGTAAGAAGCTTCTGCAGGGTCAAACGCAACATGATTCCCCGAGACGATCAGACCTCCGGCGGGAGTCGGCGGCGGCGCGGCGGAGCTCGTCGGTGGAGACGGCGGCGGAGCCGGGGATGACGCCGAGATCGGCGCGCCACCGGGCACCGCGGAGGGCCGAGAAGCTCGGCCTCGCCGGAGAGCCCGGCATTGTCATCTTGGCTCCAGCCTCCGCTGCGGGAGCACGAACCAGACACACCCTCACCGAAGGAAGGAGCTGCGGGCTGGCGATGCGGAACCGACCGGACGGGTCAATATCGGTTTGCGATCGTGACGAGAGATTGGGATCGAGGACGATGAGGAGGGCGGTCGCAGCGTGGTTTCTTGGCGTGGGAAAGTGGGAGGACGGAAGGGAGGGGGAGAACGGGGGAAAGCGAGGGAGGATGTGTCGCCGGCGGCTCGTGTCGCAACTGTCTCTGGAATACAGCAAGCGTCCTGTTTGCTCCTCGGCTCCATCAACATTATTTATTTTCTGTTCTAATAAAAAAACATTATTTATTTTCTGGCTAGTTATTTTGTCAATTGATGAAATTAAGGTACTCAAGATTTTCGCGCAAACTTGAGACCAATGTCTCCATAATGCAAATTCAGTGCTAAATGTCAAATGATTGAGACGTGGACATGTGGTGAACCAACCGAACTGATCTAACCTTCTATTTTGTTCCTTCCACAGTAACGGAAATAGAAATGGAGTTAGTTCAAATCTATCTCCCACCGATAATGTCCGTAGCTTTGTTTCATTTACGTTTGCGATACCACACATACAACCATACAGCCAAGTCCATGTCTCTCGCTTAGTATGGGTGATTGTTTTAACTAAATTATTTCTCCACTAGAAACTAGAAAGTGACATCTCCATTGATAGCTATATGTATATAGTAACTTTAATATTTTTATAATATATTGGGTTAGTCTTTTATAGGCATTCACAAAATCACAAGCATGTGTGATGCATAAATTTTACGGAAATATGTTGGCAAGACTTTCTTCGTACGACTCTGTTTCTCTTTATCAACCAGTGCATGGACAACAATCAATAATTTTCTATCCGTAAATATTCGACTGTGTTGTGTGCCGATATCACCATTCTAGTGTACATCTGTGGGGTCTCATTAGAAGTTGGATATTCTTTTGAACACATGGAAGATTCCGGCTTATATTAATGAGACAACATATGAAGTGCATTATATGGCAAAAATATACTCTTTTCTCCATTCTTCTCCCATCGTGTTTTCGAACGAGTTTTTAATGAAACATGAGCTAGTCATTGTACCGAATATACCCATGAAGTGTTGACACCATATAAACTTACATGCACCCATCTATTCTTGGGTAAGAGATCAATTCTTTTGCTTCATGTCTTTTCATGTGTTCTTCGTGCGTGTTTCATTTGGGATTGAGAAGGAAGAGTGGAAGACAGATAATCTGTCATTTTCTCCACGCCTAATCCAATGTCGAGAAAGAAATGTGGATCACAAGATTCATGAGGACATTTACATCCACCTTAACAACGATGACTCTTATGTTGGGAAGAAAACCCGATCAAGAAGCCTACTCCCCTCACCTACCTCACATGCTCCATAGCAACACTAAGAGAGAACCACTATGATAGAAGAAGGACCCTAATAAAACCAAAACCTCTAGATACCTCTAGAAATCCTAGGCCCGCTTGACCCAAGGTTAGAAAGGCATTTTTAGCAACATACATCATCTCTTTCTATTGATTGTTTTTATTTCAGTGGCAGGCTTTGTTTTGTGAATCTAATTATGTAAGCGACCAATAAAAATACTCCCTTGGTTCGGAAATACAAGGTATCAAAGCAATTTTAGGACTAGACAAAGAGTTTGACAAAATACAAACTTGGCTCTCACTAATTAGGTAATTTGGTTGTTAACTTGCTTAATTTCCTAGTAAGACATAGTTTAAAAAGACAAGGATGCATGTCATTGATTTTGGCTACCAATTACATAATTTGGGCAAGGTGGTGTTTAAAAGATATGCATGCATGGATGTGATTCAAAAGACAAGCATGCATGAATGAGGTTGAACAATCCAGAATACCTTATAATTTTAGATAAATTTAAACCTTCGATGTCTTGTATTTTGAAAATCAAATGTTTAAATTAGGTAATGATTAGAAATGGTTACAAATGATATCACTTTTACCGAAAATTTCTCAATGTTCCATTTTTGTTTTCATCTCTATTCCATCCATTTGAAATTATAAGTCATTTTAGCTTTTTTTAATATATAGTTTTTGTTACGCACCTAGATATACATTTTTAAATCGTGTCTCTAAACTAAGCACCATTTTGATAGGGACTCTCAGTTTCTTTCCCGTTTGCATCTCATGGATTAATTTCATGGAAAATTTCCCTAAAAGAAAACATGGAGACCGTTGCAATCACGCTAATGTTTCTTGAATGAAAAAGGAAAGAGTATGTTTTTTTTTCTTTTGAGGAGAAAAGGAAAGAGTATGTAATCTGGGTCTCGTTTTGGTGGGCTTTTCAGGTCCATGATTTCCGGCCCACCGGGCACCGGCAGCAGCAGTTCCCTTTTCACATTTGTGCGATCCACACGCCGCGCCGCAGCTACAACAAACAGACACAGCGGCGCCCCCGCGCGACGGCACCCGTTTCACACAAGCGCGACGGCACGGTACAAGTGTACTGCACGTCACGCCGCGCAGTTGCAACAACTGCAACTGCGAGTGACACACTGGCACGGTCACGGCGGCTGGGCGCCCTCAGGCCCCGCTCGCGAGACGCGGCCCCGCCCCGCCAGCCGCCAGCCGCAAGCGCCACGCTTCTTTTCTTATCCTCTCGCAGTCTCGCTCTCGAGCCTCGCGTCGCAGCCCCCGTGAGCGTCGGCGTGCGTCCTCTCATCTCCCGGATAAATACACAGGGGGCAAACAGCCCGGTTCTCCTGGCCTTTCCCTTCACACGCACGCTCGCGCGCCAAGGGAAGAGGCGGCCGGACGGGGGGTGGCGGCCGGCGGGGGCGCGGCAGAGCGGAGCGGTTCTTCTCCACGCCCTGACGTCTCCCTCTTCCCCGCTCTCCGCAGCCTCGGTGCTCCCATCTCCCGTTCAGGTGGTGTATGTAGGAGGACGACCAATCTGGCGAACTAGACCCGGGTAGCGACGAAGTTGCCACCGCCGTCCGCCGGTGCCGGCCGTTTCTTCCTTTGTCCGTGGTTGCGGTTTCGACGGTGATTTTGTTTCGCGTAGATTAATCGCTGTGTTGTCGAAAGATTCGGGCGTTTCTTGCTGCCTCTAGGTTCTTGTTGGGTCCATAGTGATTGGTGGATGGTTGTACGGATTGGAATCTGAGGGTGAAGCATTGCGCGAGGCCGTTAGGTTTGGTTTTCGCGGCGTCAATGCCTGGATTCATTCCAGCATTTATTGTTGGGATCTCGAGTTTCACCTTTCCGACGCGCCAAAAACACAAACTTTGTGTGCACCGGCCACCAGGGCCCGTCTCCGAGATATATAGGTCATGGAAAGGATGCTCCTTAAAGAAGAACACAAAACGATTGTGGAACCGATATCTGTTTGAGTTTTTTCATTGGCAAGACGAGAACTTGGGAGTTTCTTGAGGGGAATTTTCACATGAACCTGGTGTACTATACAAGTACACCATATATTTTCCCGATGTAGTACAATAGGGCCTGCTGCAGTCCTGATTCTGGTATTTTGTCTTAGATTTGTTGAGGGGTAGGATTTTTTGGAGGGGTATTCTGTCTGAGAGATGGCGCGGGCAGATACAAACTTTCTGGCAGCCACAGTCGTCACAGAACGAGCACCTATGAGATGGGGATGGGGAGCTACCTGACCATGGGTGATGGCCTGGTAGGGTGAGAATGGGTGTGACCTGGTGGGGGACCATGTTAGCGCCATTAGGGGTACAAGGATTCAGGGGACGACTTTGGCTTTCTCCTCCCCAACCACAGAAACTGGGAGGAAGGTTTGCCAGTCCAGTGTTGGGGCACCAGGTGAGCGCCATTAGGGGTACAGGGTTCAGGGGACGAGTTTGGCTTTCTCCTCCCCAACCACAGAAACTGGGAGGAAGGTTTGCTGTTCCAGTGTTGGGGCACCAGGTGAGCGCCATTAGGGGTACAGGGTTCAGGGGACGAGTTTGGCTTTCTCCTCCCCAGCCCCAGAAACTGGGAGGAAGGTTTGCCAGTCCAGTGTTGGGGTGCCACAGGGCTTTCTAGTGGGGTTTGGTGGTACTAATAACCCCGTTAACCATGTGTCTCTTTCTATCCTTAACTATTCTCTTGAACTATGTGAAGACACCTTTTCTTGATTTACCGATCATTCACCATTGGGGTTACACTTGATTGTGCAGGAGCCTTGTTTACTGAAGCAGCTTAGTTCCTGTTCCTGTCATGGGTATGGAACATTTCATGAGTTCTGCAAACCCTTCAGCAGGTTCAAACTATGCTTCGCTGTACATAATATAGTTCCATTTTATGGGTAACTTACACAAACTGCGACTAAGACCCAGCTTACCTCTTATAAAAAGGTTTTGCATTGTATGGAAATGAAGCAACAGAGGAAATGAAAAGGTTACAAGGTCTAAGAGCAGAAACGCTGATGGAAACCTACCAAAGCACAGAAAGCAGAGATGTCGCGATCAGGTGTCCAATACCATGCAAAAGCAGCAGGTACAATCCAGCTCTCTGATCTGGTCTGGAAGTTCTGTTACTATCGTACTTCTAAATATTTGCACAAACAGCCATACACTTTGCATGTTCTGATGTTTTCTTGTACTGATGCTCATGAGTCAAGGCGGTATAGGGAACATGACTTGAGAGCTGCACAAGATCTTTCTGAATTCATTCTGAGCAAGGTTCCTTTCTTCTTCCATCAAACTACTACCTGTATTCTGATGTTTCTCAAAATGTGCTTCCACTTCCATTTAATTTATCGCCTTTATTAAAAATTACTTTTTTTCTTCTCTTTTCTTGAGGTGATTTTGTTGTAAATTTATAGCACATTTAAACTGGAATTTACTTGGAACTGAACTAATGCTTCTGTTGTGGGACTTTGCAATCTGCAGGCTTCACCTCCATACTTTATGGGATCTCCACCAGTTCGTGCAACCAATCCTCTTGTTCATGATGCACAATTCTGTGTGTGGAAAGTGCACAATGTAGATCAGACGTTAGGAATTCCTATACCAGCCAAGAGTAACAATGCTCGCTACTGTCCAAGAAAAGAATCTTTTACGAACGCTTGAAGCTACATTTATCAACTCATGACCGTTCAGCGATGTCGTAGTTGTATCTCTGCTTCTCTCAGCAAGGCTAACTTGTATATATGAGTTGCTGCCCTTTTGAAGGTGTGAGATGTCTTATTTGAGTGTTTAGAGTATCTCATTGGCAGTGCTGTAAATATCTTTTTGCTTGGTAATTTTTGTTAGTGGAGCTAGTTTTGGTGAATAAGTACTGGTATAAACTTTGTTGTTGAGTAATGAGATAACCTGAATGAAAATGTTTGCCTTTCTTCAGTTTCTGGTTGCCAATGTGTTGGATGTGCACGTGAATGTTTAGAGCCTTTGATCTTTTGTGCTGGATCTGCTGACAAACATTGCAAAGTGTAGCTGAATGCATCAATGAACATTGCATAAGACCATAGAGAAATTCGTGCATGTTTACACTACAATCAGTTATGTAAAAAAATTACTTCCATCTCCTACTGATAAGATGGTTCTTTCTGAGTGAATCAAGAGCCTCCTATTTTACTTGTCTTCTGTACATATTGTTTGGTCTTCTCTGCCGGTTGAATTGCTGATCCTTCTTTTGATTTCCAACATCAAACTTCAGTGGTACTGTCTGCCTGATGTATGAGGCCCCTGGGAAATTTCTCCTTTCCTTTGCAAGTGACCGAAGTTCCGGTAACCAGTATGCAACGTATTCCCCTTCAGGATCATATGACTTTGCCTGCAGATGGATGTTCATGCATGGTATTGCTATAGTTACAAACTAACATGCTGTGAAATTAACTTCTTGGTGTTTTGAAGTGATCAGTTGATTCATAAAACGTACAATTTCATATTGCTGTGGCAATATATCCTAAGATTCGGCTCATTACGGTAGTGATTTTTCAGGTAAGAGAGTTCAGTCTGGTCAAAGACTTACTTGCTTCGGGATACTAAAGTATCGATCTTCTCTTGGATCATTGCCAACTCCTGTCAGAGTACAGCAGAAACATTTCATTCAGTTCCAGTCTACAAGGATATGTAAGCGACCTTTGTAGTTTTCTTGAATTTATTTTCTTTGGTCATATTGTTCTATCCAGTATTTAAAGGATCAGTAAAGACACAACTAACCTGCTCCATATGTCCAATTGCCATAATTTGAAGCTGGGTCATAATCCAATAAGCATGTCTCGAACCATTCGGCTCCCATTCGCCAATCAATACCCATATCTCGGACAAGAAATGAGCAGACAATCTGCAGATAGGCAGTGATTGAGAGATGAATAATTGGGAATAGATGCCCTGCAGTGTTAGCCCTCTGCTGTCTTTTCTGCTTATGTGGTCAGATGTGGAAGGATACCTGACGACCACGGTTGGACATGAAACCGGTGGCTGAAAGCTCCCTCATGTTGGCATCAATAAGAGGATATCTGGAATTTACCATGACTGAATTCAGAAGGCACAAGAACAATGGCTCCAGATTTCAGAAGAATAAAGTCGAGTAATACCATACCCAGTTCGACCATCTCTCCATGATTCAAACAGTGCTTGGTCCTGACTCCACTTTGATACTACTTTCCTCGGACCTTCTACAATAATAGTTTGCAGCCAGATTATACCTTACCAGCCAAAATGGACATGTTTCCCAAATGGCATAGTTGTGCGTTATTTTCATCATAAAAGGAAAAGGTTTTTTATACAAAACCTAAGGGTATGAGAGACAGCACCATATTTGGTCCTTACCCAGGTGAAATATGGCATTCCCATATTTTGCTGATAGAAATCTGAAGTAGTCTCTCCATATCAACTCAAATAAAACCCTGAAGCCATTGACTTATCAGGAAAAGGCACTTCACTCCATATGAATGGGAATACACCTTACAAACTAGTTCAGCATGAAGCTAGGGTACAAACATATATTCCATGGGGGACTTTAGCTCGAACTCGAGCCTGAAAGGAGTACAACTTATGAGAAGGCACACTAACCAATATGTAGAATCATTTGCCACTCTTTGCTTCTCATATCTCTTCACCTGCATCATAAAGGACATATAACATATTGTGTTAGGCAAAGCTAACGAGCTCTGCAGTTAATGAGAAATTCTTTACCTCTTCGCAAATATAACGTGGCGAAAGACTGCCAGAAGCAAGCCAAGGAGAGAACTTTGTGGAGTAGTCTGGACCTAACATGCCATTCCTAGTCACCTTGTAGTCTTTCAACTGATCCTTCTTCCAGAAGTACTCATGTACTCTACCAAGAGCTGCATTCTCTCCTCCTATGAAATACATTCCTTTCTCAGACTGCAAGGAGAAGAGAACAGTACAGATTAAAACTAGAACTAGTGAAGCACCTGACTAAAGCACAACTAGCTGCAACTAAACCTGCCTTTGTAACACTCAGGCCTAATGACTCCAGTGTTGGTATTGTCCCCCATCCTCCAATTTCATCTATGCTGGAACTAGGGAGCGGACCAAGTGACGGTGGTAACTTGGTGCAGTTCCTAACTGAAGACTTCGATTCAACTGCCTGGCAAAAAGCACTGCTTCAGCATTAACCATTACGCCTGCAAAAAGGCCTCGAAATTTCCAAAGAAAATCCCGACCTTTCTGAACTGTGTGTACACGTCTGGCAAGTTGTTAACTGGGAACGGGAGGTCATCAACGTGGTACATTGTTGCTCCCCAGATGAGCTGCAACCTGGGGTTCAGAGGTTTCTTCGGGACAGATGCTCCTCCTTTAGCAATCTGAACTTGCTCCAAGCCTTTGCTCACGAGGCGTTCGACAAGGAGCTCTTCGCTACAGGTTTCCTTATGAGCATAAATCTGGAGATAGATAAAGATCCATAATTCAACTATACTAACATAAGTTGAGAGATAAGATTGTGCAGAAGGGGACCTACTGTATGTGCACTGACAGCCTTTGCAATTGAAGGAAGTATCTCTTCTGGCTTGCCATGCCGGACTAGCAAATCGAGGCCCTTTTTCCTCAGACTCTGCTTCAGGTCTCCTAAACACTCTATCAAGAACTGCGCCCTCAATGCTGAATAGGTGATTTAAGTTTCACCAAACACAACAAATAGACGTAAATCATCAATATTTTCTAATCAGGCAACTTGCAGTTGGCTCTACGATGACAAAGAATCAGCATTTTCCTAAGCTATCGCAAATCCCTGATTCAGCAGCAACGAACAAAATGCAGAATCTCTAGCTCCTCACCTCCCGTCTTGGGGAACCCAAAATAATGCGTGCTCCCCGAAAAGATCCGTGGATCGACACAGTACACCGGCAGGACCGCCTCGGAAGCCGCCCATGCGCGCAGAAGCGCCTCGTTATCAAGAACTCGGAGGTCGTTCCTGAACCACACGACGGCTACCCCGGCGCCGCCTCTCCTCAAGCTCGGCGACGTGTACCTCTGGAAGGCATCGTCTGCCACTGCGCAGGCCTCGTCGGTGCCGAGGGAAGGCACCGGCACCGCCGCACCGCGCACCAAACGGGAAGAAGAGCTCGATGGGGCGGCGCTCATGGCGAGGAAGCGACGATTGGAGGGTGGGCTAGTGAGGAGGAGGAATCGAGGACGGAGAGGGGAAGAGGAGATGTAGTGGAGCATTTCTTGATTGGACTGGCAGTTGAGAGTTTTGAGAAGTGAGGGGGTGATTTGGAAAGTTGGAAGGGGAAGGTGGAGGGAAGAGCGGAGAATGGTGCCACGTGTCCGTGTTCGACTGGTGCTACGTGGCCTGATGTGGGCCTGTGGAAATAGGATGTGGATATTGTAGGCCTGGGTAGAATTAAGACGGATGGGCCCATCATCCACATGTCAGTGTCTCATCTTGGAGATTGAAAATGAACTAGTATCTCTTAATAAAATATAAATATTATGTTTTGTGATTCTATATTAGCTGCGGCTCAAAAGCGCTTACTTTGCTCAAATAAGGTTTTGCTATGGTTCACCGTAGACCATTGATTTAGATGTTAATTATCACATATTACCTAACTAGAGGTAATAGGAAAAATAAGAAATATCTTCCTAAATAAATATATCTAAGAGCGTCTCTAAGGGCCGTTTAGATCTTTATTTCGGAGGAATTGAAATATACTTAATGGATTAGATTATTTGGCTTGGAATTTGACATTCCATAACTTTTCCAAACTCACAAATAAGCCTATCTCAAATTCATATGGTGGGAGATAAAAATGGATTCTATAGATCACTATGCTATAATACTACTCTCCAACTTATAACACACTCTTTAACTAACTTCCCTACAATAGAAATGCAACATATAAGTATGTCCCTTGTATGCCTAACAATAAATATATAAATATATTTCATATACAACTATATTAGTTTTAATTAATCTATGTCTAAATTGTAATTATTAGAATAAATTCAATTCCAAGAATCCAAACAGGCCCTAAGAGTCTTTCTAAAATTCATTCACTAAATCATCATATAGAGGGCCATTTGCATGATAATCGATTTCTATATCTTTTTACTCTTCAACAGTTTTTCTATATCTTATATGCACTCTAGAAAGCCATTCTCGTTTTGTATCTTTGGTTAACGAGAAATCCGAATAGAAGATGGCTATATTTAGATAACCAATTAAAGAAATTGGGGGTATTTTTTTTCACAAAATCTCTATTCCTAACAATTAGAAAAGATACAATGAGTCTCTTAGAGGTGCTCTAATATATATGTATCCCCTCCACTCCAAATTATAAGTTATTCTAGCTTTTTTAAGATATATAACTTTTATTATATATCTAGATATAATATATCAAAGTGTATAGCAAAATTTATCTACCTAAAAAAGATAAACAAATGGACCCATCATCCACGTGTCAGTGTCTCATCTTGGAGATGGAAAAATGTACTGTACTAGTATATCTCCTCTCCTAAAATATAAATATTATGTTTTGGAATTCCATTAGCAGCAGCTCAAATACGCTTACTTTGCTGAAAAATTAATCACAGTGAAAATTAAGAAATGCGAACACCTAATTCAGTAGATTCCATGATAAAAGATTTAATAGTGACAAAATTAAGACTGCACTTGTGGTACATATGTTGTGATCTCTGTCTACAAAGAATGTATCATATAATGACAGTATAACATTCTGACAAAAAAACTGTTCTTCAAGAATAAAGAACTAATGAGTTGGGAGTTGGGTGGAAGACTATGGAGACATACATTGAACACGACAAATTACTATGAGGGCAGTGTCATTCTATAAACATTGCTGTGGCCGTTTTACCGAGTACTGAGCTCCAAGCCATCACAGTTGTTGCAGTTGTACCGGTATCTTTGGGCCCAGATCCTAATAAGTACGGACTTCACAATTTACATACAAACAGGGGAAAAAAGCTTGTGGGATTTGACAGCCCAAGGCAAAGAATCAGGTTGGACTCAAACAGATGTATAACTGGTAAATAGCTTCAGTAGGTTGTCAAGTGCTTCAGGATTAAACTTCCTAGCGAAAAGATAGCACGGTCTCTTTGATCCATTCCACAAACACGGCTTCTGCATCACAAGTTTCTGCAATATGGGGAAAAACAGCACACCAGCATTCAATGGTTGTTGAGATGCGTTGAAGCTGGAAATTTCATTGCTTCATGGATGCGAAATACAATTCACGAGTTTGCTTATAATCCATAATTAAGTTCATGAAATAATTTATTTATTGTTCTTCAAAAGTCAATAATGACGATAGATCTTTGTGCTTACCTTGTCATCACTTGTTACACGGAAGATCTCATCAATTGCCTGCAAAATGGTAATGCACATCAGTGTATGCACATAAAAATCATATGGTAGGCGAGAACAAATTAAGCAGCTAGGAAACATACTGTAATATTCTTCAAGAGATCATAGGTGACATCATCAGCGCTATATGACCTTGGATGCCATTTTCCCTCAGACCAATCCACATTTGTAACAGACCAATTAGAGATTCCACCAGGATCTACCATCTAAAGTCAAGGAAATGAATTAGCAAGCGCCCAACTAAATAAAGGCTAAATGTTACTTCAATAGATAGTGAATACCGACATTGAACAGGGTTGGCAAATAATGCTCATCTGCAATACAGTTGCGCCCTTCCGCTGGCTGTAGATCATGGGAGAAAAAGGTAATTCCCTTTGCAACAAATGTGCTTACTAGAAAAACATAAGTGAAAACTGAAAATCATGGCCATTGGTTCAGACTTGAGAAACACTAATTTGAATGTATGCCCCTCTTAAGCTTCACATATTTATCAATGACCCAGCATGTATTCAATTATTTCTTCGGTTCCTTCATACTTAGATTCTGAGGCATTGTATGGATTGGTTGAAGTCCATTTCGCATTTTGAATTGTGTTTTTTTTTATGTTACTACCATATCCAAACAGGGTTTTAGAGATAGTTGTCAAATTTCTGCACTGAATTTTCACTACAACAAGACTATACTTCATATTGAAAAATGTATATTGATCTTACTGCCAACCTTACATCAAACAAAGTAACAGACATAAATTAATATTTGAGTACATATCTAAATTAAGTCATTGAAGGGCAGTGGTGAGAGCTGTCTCACTGAGTCACCAGGTCGTGGGTTCAAAGCAGCCTCTCCGCAGATTTGCGAGGGGAAGGCTCGCATCGGTTTTTCCCTTCCCCAGACCCCACTCATGTGGGAGCCTCCGGTACTGGATCTGCCCTTTATATCTAAATTAAGTCATTGTTCTATTCTATGCATAACTCCGCCTATGTTGTCTCAACATAGCAGGTCCCAAGCTCTGGTAAAGGAGGAGGGTTGTGATAGGCATGGCGAGCCAACGTTAAATCTAGCCATTCTAATGGAGATGAAATCCGAAAGAAAACCGTTGGGGCGTAACCCTCTTAGCGACGCGCCATATCGGAACCCGGGTATTGTGTTAAATGGGCAAGGGCCAGGTCGGCACCCCCTTGGTGACGTGCCGTGTCGCGATCTGGGCATGGTGTCAAGTGAGCAAGGATCGAGTCGTCGCTTCCTTAGTGGCGCGCTACATTGGCGCCCGGGTGTAGTGAAAAATAAGCAAGGGTCTTCACATCTGAGTTGACGGGTGCGAAGGGTAAGGAAGCTAGTCGAACCAACTAGGATCCATTTAGGTAATTGGAATGTAGGGTCGCTTATAGGTAAGTTAAGAGAATTAGTTGATACCGTGACTAGGAGGCGTGTAAATATATTATGCGTTCAAGAGACTAAATGGAAGGGTCCGAAGGTGAAGGAGGTGGACAATACAGGTTTCAAGCTTTGGTACACAGGGACAGTCGCGAATAGAAATGGAGTAGGAGTTTTGATTGATAAGAGCCTCAAGAATGGTATGGTGGGAGTGAGAAGGCAAGGAGATATGATTATCTTAGTCAAGCTTGTCGTTGGTGATATGGTATTGAACGTAATTAGTGCGTATGCCCCCCAAGTACGCCTCAACGAGAGTGCTAAGAGACAGTTCTGGAAAGACTTAGATGGCCTGATTCGAGTTGTACCAAGTAGTGAGAAGCTTTTTATAGGAGATCTTAATGGGCATGTGGGTACTACAAGCGCAGGTTTCGAGGCAGTTCATGGAGGTTTTGGGTATGGTAGTATGAATCAGGAGGGGGAGAAAGTTCTGGACTTCGCGGTAGCTTTTGACCTGATGATAGCCAACACTTTTTTTTTAGAAAGAGAGAATCTCATCTAGTGACCTTCAGTAGCGGACAACACTCTAGCCAGATTGATTTTGTCCTCGCAAGAAGAAAGGACAAACGAGCATGCTTGGGTTGCAAGATGATACTAGGGGAGTGTGTTGTTTCTCAACATAAGCTTTTGGTGGCAGACTTACGTTTTCAGGTGCGTGCCCGTAGGGATAAACAAGCTAAAATTGAAAGAACAAAGTGGTGAAAACTAAAAGGAAAGACGTCAGAGATATTAAGGGAAAGGGTTATCAAAGAAGGCTCTTGGAAGGAAGAAGAGGACATAAACAACACGTGGGAGAAGATGGTAACCAACATTCGGAAGGTGACCTCAGAGGTGTGTGGAGTAACCAAAGGAAGTGGAGGTGAGGCTAAAGATACTTGGTGGTGGAACGAGAAAGTCCAAAGGACTATTAAGGATAAGAAAAAATGCTATAGACGCTTGTACCATGACAGGAGTGTGGACAACATAGAGAAGTATAAGGTGGCAAAGAAGACTGTAAAGCGAGCTATAAGTATGGCAAAGGGTAGAGCATACGAGGATTTTTACCAACATTTGAGTACGAAGGAAGAAGAGAAGGACATTTATAGGATGGCTAGGGTTCGTGAGAGAAAGATAAGGGACTTCAACCAAGTTTAGTGCATTAAGGATGAAATGGAGCATCTCTTGGTGAAGGAGGATGAGATCCAACATCGATGGCAAGAGTATTTTGACAAATTGTTCAATGGTGAGAATATGGGCACAACCTTTCAGCTGGATGACTCTTTTGATGACACCAATAGGCACTTTGTGCAAAGAATCCAAGAATCTAAGGTCAAAGAAGCGTTGAAAATGATGAAAGGAGGTAAGACGATGGGACCGGATGGTATCTCAATCGAGGTGTGGAGATGCCTCGTGGACATAGCTATAGTATGTCTAACCAAGCTGTTCAACCATATTTTTCGATCGAACAAGATGCCTGACGAGTGGAGAAGAAGTATATTGGTACCGATCTACAAGAATAAAGGGGATATTTAAAGTTGTACTAATTACCGGAGAATTAAGTTGATGAACCATACTATGAAGCTATGGGAGAGAGTTATCGAGCATCGCTTGAGAGCAATAACGCGGGTCTCTATGAACCAATTTAGTTTCATGGCCGGAAGATCAACCATGGAAGCCATTTTCTTAATAAGACAAGTTATGGAGCGGTATAGGGAGAAGAAGAAGAAGGACCTACACATGGTTTTTATTGACTTAGAGAAGGCTTATGATAAAATACCAAGGAATGTTATGTGGTGGGCTTTGGACAAACATAAAGTCCCAACGAAGTACGTCGGGCTCATTAAGGACATGTACAACAATATTGTAACTAGCGTTCGAACAAGTGATGGAGACACGGATGACTTTCCGATTAGGATACATCAAGGGTCAGCTTTGAGCCCTTATCTGTTTGCCTTAGTGATGGATGAGGTCACAAGGAACATACAAGGGGACATCCCTTGGTGTATGCTTTTCGCGGACGATGTAATGCTAGTTGATGAAAGCCAGACAGAGTGAATCAGAAACTGAAGTTATGACGGGAGACTTTGGAGTCCAAATGTTTTAGACTCAGTAGAACTAAAACCGAGTATATGAGATGTGACTTCGGCACTACTACTCGGGAGGAGGAAGATATTAGTTTGGAAGGTCAAGTAGTGCCTAGGAAGGATACCTTATGATATTTAGGATCAATTCTACAGAGAGACGGGGACATTAATGAAGATGTTAGCCATAGAATCAAAGCAGGGTGGATGAAGTGACGCCAAGCATCTGGTGTCCTATGTGACAAAAGGGTACCACAGAAGCTAAAAAGCAAGTTTTATAGAACGGCGATTAGACCTGCTATGTTGTATGGTGCAGAATGTTGGCCTACGAAAAGACGACATGTTCAACAGACAAGTGTCGCGGAAACGCGTATGTTGCGTTGGATTTGCGGTCATACAAGAAGGGATCGAGTTTTGTAACGATGATATACGTGATAGATTAGGGGTAGCACCAATTGAAGAAAAGCTTGTCCAACACCGGTTGAGATGGTTTGGACATGTCCAACGGAGACCTCAGAGGCACCGGTGCGTAGTGGAATCCTAAGCTAGCATAGTAACGTGAAGAGAGGCAGAGGAAGACCGAAGTTGACTTAGGTAGAGGCAATAAAAGGAGACTTGAAAGGATGGAATATACCCAAAGACTTAGCCTTAGATAGGAGTGCTTGGAAAACAACTATTCACGTGTCTGAACCTTGATTGCTTCTGCTGGGTTTCAACTCTAGCCTACCCCAACTTGTTTGGGACTTAATGGCTTTATTGTTGTTGTTGTCGTCGTCGTCGTTGTATTCTATGCATGTTTTCTACTAAGATAAGATACTTGGTATCCAGTTTTACTGTACCAACTCGATGTAATGATTGTGAATTAATAAAATCCTTCCTTTATCTAAGATAAATAAATATACCTTGCAGTATAGCTTGAACTTCTTGTAGTACAGGCTGTCAGCCAGAATCATTAAAGCATGTCTCCTCGTAACTGCAAACCACTAGAACAAGAACAGACAAAGGACTTAAATTAGATTTCCGCTCAGCTATCCATGTAAAGTGTTCATCGAATGATATACCACCAATAGAGTTTGATAACAGCAAGTATTTTATATCCTAACAAATTAGTATAGAGAATAACTGTACCTGGGCACCCTTTCTAAAATCCCTCTTGTCTATTTCAGGATACATCTCAGGAGAGTACCTTCCACTGCCATGTGGACCTGGATCCTTGAAACTTATAAGTTGAAAACAAAGGCAGGACAAAAAATCAAAGTGAGTGGATATGAACATCTTCAAGAGAGAAAAAAAAGTTCTCATATCCTATTTTTTCAAAAGGATTTTGAAATATAAGTTCATAGTGTTCTCACCAATCCACGAAGCTAACATTTGTTCCCATCAGGTAGTTATACACATAATCAAATGAATGCAGCGGAACACAGCTGTGAAATAAAGCAAAGATGACTCAGTAATTGAGAACAAAGGATCAAAAAGGGAGTCACCGTAATCAGGGTCCAAACCTGTCAGAAAGCAAGACAAAAACTTGATTATCAACATCTTCCAGTGCATTCGCTAATAGTCTCTTCTCAGCATCAACCATTGAAATCAATCCCCATACTACCTGCATAACAAATACATACTCTGCTCAATGTTAACAATCTCAAAATTACAGCATAAGCAATATGATAGTCCATTAGCAGAGAAGAATTCCAACTAAAGATACCACTTTATAACGATCCATTCAATTTGCAAGTGGTGGAACAGTAAGTATTCTCAATCCAGATTGCTAGTAGCGATTTTGTTAGAACTGGACCTACTGTTGTAGGTTGTGGGTTTAAAACAGTAATATTCTCAACCCAGAATGCTATCTTTGTTCTTTATCAACTCACTTTGGTGTGTTCAACTTCAACATGAGTTAAGTCCTATAGTCCTACGCAAAGCATGTAACTACTGTTTGGCTTTTCACACAAAAACTACTGTACCTACTGTTTGGTTAATTGCTATTGCTGATTATTGCTACAATGGAGTAAAATCCTAGTTCAAAAGAAGTGTCTGATGGCACCCAAGGTCAACCACTTGTACATTCTTCATTCATTATTTGACCAGAGGGAGGGGTATTTTTTTTTTTTTTTAGACAAAAGGTTTGGAAATATAATGGATTGAGTTTACAAGATGAACCCCTGATAAAGCAGATATATTTAAGACAAAAGCGTTAAATCCAAATGTATGAAACACAGACGAAAATGCAATTATGATATGATGTGGTCCTTTCCAGATGTGTCGGGGTTCGCTGTGTGTAGGTGGCTGCGTTCTGGGGCCTCTGGCTAATGCCCGCCATGGGAAGTGGGAGCTGATGGTCACTCTTGCGACAAGCTTGGCAACGATGATGCATGGTGGGTTCCGTCGGTTGCCTGTTGCTGTTGTACACTTGTTTGTTGGTAGGTTGCTTAGGGTTACTTGTCCAGGCTACCATGTTCAGGTTTTTCGCCCAGTTTTCCTCAATAAACCACGTGTTTGTAAGGTTTTTGGGCCTAGTTTCCCCCATAAACTAGGTCAATTCTTTTCTACCAATTCGGAGTTGCTTTGGAAAAAATGAAACACAGACGAAAATTATTACTGCGTCACTGTGAATATCCCGACCAGCAAACAAAGAACTAGTATGAACCGGCTTTTCACGTGATGCGTGCACATAGATGGAGTATCTTCCCTCATGTCCCTGTTCAAAGAAGGCACAGTGATTCAATTTTCTTTAAAAGTCACATGAATCATATATGAGATGGGAAGTATTACATCACATAAACACAGAAGGTTTTTTTTTTTTTGAATCTAAACACGGAGGGTTAGTACCAACAAGGGAGGAGATTACAGTGAGTACTGGCTACTACTTGCTACAAATCTTACCGGCTTTGGTCCCTATATGGTGAAAACATAGGCTTAACATATTTATACAGATAAAACAACCTATTCACTAATGAAGGTTCATAGGCTTAATCTATTTATACAGGCTACTACTTGCTAGGAGCATTGTTACCTCTATCAAATGAAGGTTCATAGGGGAATCAACATGTTGGCCCAATGTTATATACTCATATTTCAATAATACATACTACAAACAAGTAAGTATATCCACTAAATTGTTTCTCTGGAACCAACCTTGGTGTCGTTATACATTTGAAAGACTTATGATTTCTTGCAGTTTAAGGAAACAGAAAGACCCTTGAAAAGCTTATACTCCTTAAGTGGCACAAAAACAACAAGTACATCTTAAGTGGCACAAAGACAACAAGTACATTTTGACCAACCTGTAAAAACTTCTCCCACAATTTCTCAAAGGGCAATGAACCTGGTGTCAAGAACATAAGGGCGATCTTTGGATTTTTTGACACAGGCATGGGCATTGAAAGGATATCCCTAATAACTACAGATGAAATAATCTCCTCGTCAGTCCGCTCCCGACGGCCCATGGAAGGGAGCCAATCCTTGAAATTCGTACATACACTTGAAGCAGAGAGGTAGCACTTAGAGAAGCGCCGCGGTGGGAAGACGTAAGCCCCAATCAACACGATGCAAACCATAGACAAGAGCACGATTATCCACATGGGCTTCTTGGCTGTAGCCCGGTGGCGTTGAGGCATCATGACAGTCATATCCTTGCTATCCCGCTGTACACTTTATGGTACTTTTATCTCATCTCCATCTTTAGATCATCTATAAAGCTCGTTCCTCACCATCAGACTGGGCAATTCAGCTGCTACACCAGGGCCTGAAGAACTTTCAGGCAATGATTTTTCCCTGCAGTTGCAATCCAAGGGAAACAAAGTGTTAATACATGGATCCATCCAAATGATTCAAAAACACCCAAGAATGCTCCTATATATGCTTTTATAGTGACACATTCAAGTCAACTCACCAAGATTTGTCCCTACAATTCTACTACAACCGAGCAGTCCACCCCAGTAATTTGGTGGTTGTTCTAGTACATATTGTGATGCACTAACTAGTATGCGATTCAGTCACGATCTGTTCTGGGAATTGTGATGCAAGCTACTAACATTGAGCGAGCACCACTTTATCCAAAGCTTCCTAAGTTGGCCCAGCAATCCAGAAAATGTGCCGAGGTAGGTGATCTACAATGTCCAAAGCAGGCGATTTGCACAAAGAAGACAGCGGCCGAGTCCACGGCGGCGGCTGGCGAAAAGTCAAGCTCTGACCAAACCAAACCAAACAGCCCCTTCCCATCCGCATTACCAGGTCGATCCGGTCAGCGCCACCCGCAGCAACCAACCCCTACGGCCCAAACCCAAGCTAAATCACAGCGCCAGCACCGGAAATTACTTCTTACTCCACGTAAAAATCGAAGCTTTACACCCAAAACAGCGCACTCCAAATCGCTCGGAAACCTCCAGCTTTCACGCAACCGAGCCCAATGCAGGGAGCAGCCACGCAGGGCATAGTTAGAAAGTAGAAACACAGCATGAATGGCACGAACCTGGTAAGGGATTTGGAGAGCGAGAGGAGAGGAGCGCTGCGAGGAGGGTTTCACCGCCTGGAGCTCGCTGTCTCCGCCCGCCGGGGGTCTGGAGGCTGCGGAGATCGATCGGATTTGGAGGGCGCAGGCAGGTGGAGCTGAGGCGACGAGGCGACGAGGGAGGCGGTATAAAGAAAAGGATTAATTAAGCTAGATGTGTTTATGCTCAATGGGTTGGGTTAGAGGTGGAAGCTTGGCTGGTCTTGGCTATTGCTGCTTGCTTCTTGTGGTGGTTGATGATGGGTTTCCAATTGGAGGCAGGAGGAACGAAAAGAGAGAGGAGGGGAAGTGTTGGGGCTGAGAAATTTTGGATTAAAGTAGCGTTTGGGCGTGTGCTTTTGCGCCTGGGACCTCGTAAAACTTTATCTTTGTGAGCTCCGGTGGAATCAGAAATTTCTTTCCGAGCTCCGGTGGGATTAGAAATTGACAAATTGTGCTCCTCTTCTGATTCAGATTTTCTAGATTTGGGCGTTTGCCGAAGACGGATAACTGCATCATCATGGTATTGAATCTAGAATAATACTAGTATTTTTCACTGTCACGTTACATTTTCATAGGTCCACAAAAATTGTTTGTGTGGCGAAAATATCTGGACTTTGTGGACAGGTCATAATAAAAGGGGTCTTTTTTTCTCCATGCATATTCCAAGAAAGTTACTGTGACTGTGAGAGGTTACATAGACTACTTTTTCAAGGTTGATCCTGAAACTTGTCCATTCTTGTTTTCGTGAGTCGGAAACATGTTTTTACTCTCTTCCAGTCTCCAGAAGAAATGAAGAATGTCGCTCTCGAATTGTACCTGGAAACTTTCCTTGTAGAATCCGAAAGAGGAATACCTTTGCTTAAATACTCAATTTGCTGTACCTTTGGTAGAAAAGTACATGTGCTGGCTACAATACAAGCGATGAGTATGAAGATTGCAGGCACCGAAGAATATTCGCTCGACGCCAAAGAGAAGAACCTTTGACCACCCACGGAGGGAGTCAGGGAGCACGAGAGAATGGAGGGGGAAAACGTCTGGATCTACCTTGCAGCGACAATAACTTCTAACGGCCAAAAGAGAGAAACTGGATCTGCAGTGCATGGCATCCGGGCACTAACAGAAAACGAAAGCCGTCTGAGGCTGTTCCACTTGCGAGCATGCGTCCATTCCATCCAGCAAGCGAAATTAGATGCGCTAGTGCAGGTATACTAGAGACAAAATTAAGTGGGCTGGCCTTTGGCCATGCATGCTTTCATTCTGTCTCCGGCTCTCCGCCCTCACAGCAGCTTCCGAGAGGATGCCATGCATCGGCAGGCTTCCAAAGACTGATGATGCAGCAGATATCCCCTTGTCTGGCATATGATTTGTGTACGATCTACCCCTGCTGGTCGGAATCATCATGTGAAACAACGATCTACCCCGAACTATCATCTGACACAATTAGGCTCCGTTCGGTTACATGGAACAATTCCCAGCGAATCAATTTCTTCACAAATTAAGTTCAAAAAAAAATCTTCATAAATTTGTATAACGCGGGACCGTTCCAGGCGTGGAACAGCCCGTTCCGGGGAAACGGAACGGAGCCTTATCCGGATAAGGTCAACACACTACAATGTCATCTCACATCTAAAGATACTAATATATGCCCGTGCGTTGCACGGGGTAACGAATTTATATTCATGTGTACAACGATGTACGTGTCTTATGGTTTAGACGAACATATTAACAAATTTTTATCCATGTCTGACGATGCACATGGCTTGCGATTTAGACAAACATATTAAGAAATGTACAAATTTGATTACATAAAGCATATTTTATGATCTTTATGACCAATATTGTGTGGATTTGGTTTTTTAGAAACCTAATACGGTTGGTTTTATTTTTTAATTATTATTTGTGTGTTTTATTATTTTGCATTTTCAGAAAATAATAAAAATCTAATAAATATTTTTGTATTTGGAACCCTTAACTATCTCTAAATTCTCTAGGTTTTCTTTCTTCTATGTGGACGTGGTAGATTAATGGGCCACATTGTTACGTGTGGGCATGTAGCAAATCACCATGTAAGAGACTCGTCTGTTACGGGCGGCCAGGAGGTCCATCCGTTCGTCCCAGGGCACGTTGTTCCTTCGTTCCTGCTCTCGCAGGAGGGCGAGCGGGTTGCAGACGACGAACACACACGCACGAGGCGAGCGGGGCGCAGACGCACGGGCACATGTGCACGGGCATGCGCTGACGACCGAGAGGGCGAGCGTTTGTAGGTGCCCGTCGTCGGCTGGAGCTAGGGTGCACGCGGGCGAGGAAAGCAGAGCATACGGCCAACACGTCGTAGAGCGTGGCGAGCACCGCGGCCGCCACCAGCACATACTGGCATCGCATCGCTCGCATCCATGGCGAGACGCGCGCAGGACTACGCACGGCAGCAGGTCGCAGTTGCCCGCCGGCGCAGGCTAGAGGTAGGTCGCGCGCGGATAGATTTGATTGTTTTTTTTTTGCCGTATATATTTTTTTGGAAACGTTTTTTGGTGTATTTGTTTTTTTTCGTAAACGGGGATGTGGAATATTTTGTTTCTGAAACGGTTTTTGGCGAAATAGCCATATTTATCCTTAAACTTTCATCCAAAGCTCAAATTCGTCCTTCAACTATCAAAATGGTCGGTTTAGTCCTCGAATTTGCAATTTCAGTCCGATTTCATCCTCTGTCTGACGCCGTCTTCGACACGGAAGCTCACTCCGTCAGCACAATTCTATTGGGAGACCAAAAAAAGGTGATTGAAGACCTCGCATCCATGAATCACAGCTTGACACGGTTGTATCTTCATTCAGCTGGACAATGTGATGATATGTACAGTGATCGACAAAGGTTGGGAAAAGAAATATGTAAGCGCATGGTAGGGATGAAAACAGATCGGATCGAAGCTGATAATGGCTTCCCCATATCCTAATCCATTTTTTATCGAATTCGGAGCGGATCAGATATTATACGGATTCGGATGCGAATACGGATTTTTTAGATGTCGGAAATGATACGGATTTGGACCGGTGATGGAGCGGAAGCGGACTTTTTTAAGTCAGATAATATGTGCTTATGTGTTGTTTTTTATGATGAGAAACAGTTCATTAACCAAAATCATAAAGCGGCAATACAACACGAAATAATCACCATCAATCCACCACTTCAATTTAAGAGCTCACAAAATTAATACAAGTTCTCAGTTTAAATTTAAGAGTATAAAACAAGTGTGTAAAAAATAAATATTCTTAATTTGGCAAAATTTTACCTTCACTCTTTGCCGTGTACTAGTCCTCCACTTTGGTAGATGATAATTCTCTGCCTCCTGTAATTTCAATGTACCAACCTATAGTTGACAAGCTTTGTTTGTGGACTTTAATATAATAATGCTTGTGTTATGGGTCAGGCTGACTTGTATTCTTGCCGCTTGGACTCCTTAAAATATTCCAATTATCCTATTATAAGCGTCGCACGTTCAATTATCGGTTAATCCATATCCGTCGGATTTCGCCAATTCCATATCCTACAACGCATCAGCATATAATCAGGTCGGATTATCCGTATCCGCATGGATATTAAAAACACTTCTCCATATCTATAAAATTCGAATTCGGAGTGGATCAGAGTAGAGGATTATCTATACCACTTATGATTTTGCATTGTAAGTGGCTGTAGGCCTGTGGACAATCACGTAGTGATTTTTGAAATCTAATTATAGTACCGATTTTCCACGACTTGGTGCCTGATTTCACCGGTTCGGAAAGGTCTTTCTTTCTATTTTTGGGTGGGCGCCCTCACATTTTCTTCAGTCTAGGAGGCAATGGCTTTGGATTTGGAGATACAGGCCAGGCTTACTCATGCTCCATGGGTTGCAGCACATGCTGATATGTCCATAGACTTGCTAAAATCTACAAGTGTGTTGTCTCCTCTCAAAGTGTGTTAACGGAGTGAGCTACTGTGGCAGACGACGTCAGATAGAGGACGAGATCGAACCAAAATTACAAATTCAAGGACTAAACCGGCCCTTTTGATAGTTGATGGACGAATTTGAGCTTTGGATGAAAGTTCAAGGACAAATATGGCTATTTCGCCACGGTTTTTTTTTGCCATGCAAGAGACTC